AATCAAGTTTTTATTTTTTATGTAAACAATGTCAACAGATGTAGGTAGTTATACGTACACTTTGTTTACTTCTATGATGCTGAATAATATCTTATTATTTGTATGAATTTTCTCAGTAATTTATCAATTATATTATTTACTAAATTTTTACATTAATATATATATATTATAATTTATATATTATTTATTATTATTTCACTTACGATGATTATATTGAATACATTGATATAATATATAATGCGTAAAATAATGATGATAGTGCAAGAGCTGTTGAATTCCAAATATCCCCAAATTTAAAAGATATGGAACCACTTATATCTACTTATATGCCAATAATAAAGGAATATTTTGAATATGTAAATAAGAAAGATTCAGGTTATAAGAATAAATGTTGCATTTATAATAAATACTGGATAAAAGAAAAAACTGAATATATCAAAAATGTAAATGCTACAAATATATTTAATTCTTTCAATAATTATATTAATACTCCTATTGCTATTCCAAATGTAGAAGGATGTAAATTAGATATAAGGGAAGATGATGATAACAAGTATGAAAAAATAGGAAAACTGTATAATATATATTATAATTATAGGACTAAACTACTTCTCATAGAAATGAATGAACCTAAAACAGCAACATATCATAATAAAAAAAGTTTATTTTATATATATAATGAACTCAATAAAACGGATTTATCACCAAGGATAATGATTTGTTTGCAAAATTATATAAAATAAGATGTCTAGTTGAAGAAAATAAATCGATATCCAATCAAAACTGCAGCAATATATATAAAGACATATATGATTCAAATATATCCGCAGCTTATAAACTTTTTTGTGTAGTAAGCGATATATCAGAAAAAGAAACCTGAAATAACGATGAATTTAGAAGAAAATTCTGTCAGTATTTTTGCTAGAACTATATCCAATAAATATGTTATAATAACAACAATACTTGTTACCATAGTAATAGGAACGATTTTATTATATTTCTATGGGGTTAATAATAATTTAAGTTAGAAATAAATATATATTATACTTATTTTTATATTAAATTTAAAGAATAAATTATTATATAAATTATATATTCATAAGAATTCATTAAAATATTTTTTTTTATTACTTTACAGAATAATTAGGTGAAATTTGGCTTTATTTTAAACGAATGATAAGTAAGACAAGGAATATGAAGGATAAATCATGAGAATATATTTTATGTAATTATGCAAATGACGCTGCCTGTCCTGATGAAAAAAATTATAACATATCGTATATATTTGATAAATAGTAATAAAATATCTAAGTACACAACTATCATATTAATTTAAGAACTATATTTAAATGCGTAATAATTAGATATGTTCATAACTAACTATGAGATATATAGGAATATGTGAATATCATAAAATAATTTTAATAAAAATATATATGTATTTTAATGCAATGTTAATATATATATATATATATAGCAATTTAGTATACTAAAATAATAATTAAGTTAAATAATAACATAAGAAAACTGAACATATATGAATATATAGAAAAGACATGCGAGAGAAAATACACATTACATTAAATATAGAAAAAATTTAGAAAAATAAATATATTGTATATTATATTCTTATTCAGATTGTCATTTATTTCAATACACTAATTACAAATAATTCTATTAGTAGTAATATTTAAGCATGATAAATCATAGGAAGGCAAGAATTTATTATATTGCATGCAATCTAAGAATCATAAATCTTTATAAAAATTAAATAAATGTAAAAGATATTGTCATTAGTATTAAATGATGAACATTAAAGATTTTTAATAATTTTTGTGATAAAATAATAAAGCAAAATATAAACTAAAAAAATATGATTATACAATGAAGAGAAAAATTGTAAAAGAATTTTAAATAGTTAATATTTTATATAAATATATTTATTATTAAATTTTCTTATTTCTAGTAATAAAAAAAAATATTATTTTTAATACATATATATATATATACTACTATAAAATAACTATTCTATAAAATCAATAATAGTTTTATTAAGAATTTATACATATTAAAATATAAATAACATAATTACATAGGGAAAATAAAAATAAGAAATTATGAAAATAGTATTCTATATACAACGAGCAAAAATTGATGTATATTCATATAATTATAAATCATTGTATATTTATTAATGTAATATATCAGATATCATTTTATTTAAATAAATATATCTTTTTAGTAGCGCCTTAGTAACACAGAATTAGTTAATATGTTCACAGAACAAATATATATATGAATTCATTTATAAGGTGTTTATTTAAAATCATTTAATAATATTAAAAAAAAAATAGCACATCAACATTTTATACTGATGAGAGGGATAATAATTCTATTTTAAGTTTAATATTTATATTAATATAAGAAAAAATATAATAATAGAAATTATATAATATCATATTCTATTATAACAT